AAAAAAAAAAAAAAAAAAAAAAAAAAGATTTAAGATTTTCATTTTAACTAAATAAATATGTGTTATACTACTGTTAGAACATACAGGTCAAGGACGTTGACATATCGCTGGCACCTATACATACGAATACTCATACCGAAAAACTCAATGACGCTGGAAAAGGGGGGGGGGGGAATAGTTGAAACGATAATCTTTGAAACAAGGGACATTCAGGAATCCCCATTCTTTTTTCAAAGATACAGTTCAGGGGTGAGGATAAGCGTGAGCCAAAATTAGGGATATTTCAAAATCTAAATTGTAAACTTTTCGTTAAAATACCTTTCAAGTGCGAAATAGTGGAGAAAATATTTTTTTATACCGATAACAATATCTCAAAACTCAATCAATTTACACACGGGAAAATTTAATCGTAATTTTTTTTTTCATTTACTGAAATATAGTCCAAAGGCTTGAACAATCATTGTATAAGATTTGAAAAATAGATACGAAAAAAATTGAGTTTGTGCAAATCTCAGTTCATGGAAACTTGCGAGTAACTATTTATGATGTAAATAATATTTCTTTCAAACATAAGACAGTTAGAGAAGTGAAAATCTGTTAAGAAACTCTTCTATAAATATAAGAAGTCTGTGTTTTTACCTACGTTTTCCAATATATATATATATATATATATATATATATATATATATATATATATATATATATATATATATATATATATATATATATATATATATATATATTTTTTAATATCGGGAGAGAATATATATATATATATATATATATATATATATATATATATATATATATATATATATATAAATTTAATACAGTTTTAAACCTGTTTTCTTAGTTCAGGGAAGTTAAAAGTGTTAGTAACGTAAACATCTATACATATATACTTTGTTTGACCCAATGTCTAATATACTATTTCGTCAATATAAATTTCAAGGACGTGGACAATTGTCCTACTTTTATTTCTCTGTTTTTTGAGGATACAATACATCAAAAACCTATGCAGTTACGTAAGTAAAAATCGGATTTTTAGATGTTGAGATTTCGAAATAGCAGATAGAAAGTAGCGCAATGTGAAGTCCATTATTATCCCCGTAATAACGGGTCATATGTTCTAGTTAATGATAATTCACATATTTTGCGATTTCGTCGCTAACTGAAAATGTAGGTCAACCTGGTCTATTTCAAATAAAACAATTTTTTAGTTTGAATTCGAAACGCTGTATTATAACCAATGTAGACGAAGGTATTTAGAGACGTGCAAATAATCTGCAGACCTATAAGAATTATTCCCAGTAATGTATACACATAAGATAATTGCTTATAGTCAGAGTACTCTGGATCTATCAACGAAGTGTACGTCATCATGACGAACGGTAGGTTAGAGATTATAAACATGGCAGCAACTAGAGTGACAGATTTGGCTACTTTAAGATCTTTTCCTGATAGCTCGCCATCTTTGTTTGAATTAGACTGATTGTTCGTTGCGATTTTCTGTCGAAACTTTGAATAATCTTTCAATTTAATCACAAGTACGATAACACATAGTGTCACAACTGCTTGTGTCACGGTAGGAAAGGCGATTAAAAATAGTCCGTGCGAGTATTGTATTAATGCAGCCCAATCGTCAGAAAGGTGTGCTAGTAAATGGGTACTGTTGGTTAGAGAGTTCTGTTCCCGACTAACGGTCATGCCAGAAAACCAGGGCCCGTAGCTGGCGACCGTAACAATGACAATGGTGGCGATAACTACCATCGTTCTGAAGGGCGTGAACGTGGTTTTAAAATGCAGCGGCAATGCGACACAGCAACACTTTTGTATGGCCAGGTACGTGGTGATTAGTGTTGATATGGTGTAGGGAGCCATTGAGTAGGAAAGGCTCAAATTAGTCACCACAAAATAATCAAAATTCTCCAAACGGTAACCGAGAACAATTGTCAATTTGTGCCAGATCGACAGGAGTAGAAAAATGAAGTCCGTCGTGGTCAAAGCGAAGAAGGACATGCTGGTCGCGTTGTCAGATATCCCGATCGTGCTAAAAACGATCAGGTTCACACTGTTGGTGCAAAGACCGAAGAGGCTAAGGAATAAATTGATGAAACCCATGATCTCTATGGCCAAGTTGAATTGATCAGTTGTCAAGGGAGGAGTTTTGACAGATTGCTGAACTTCTAAGGGAAAGCTGATGTTTTTGGTGATAGTAGTAGACCAGTCAGACATTTCTTTTTAAAGTTGGCACATACGCTTGATACACGCTGAAGCAAGTTTTACAATCAAAATATAAAATTCTTGTTCAAAATCCTTGAGACACTTAAAAATTTTCCAAATAAATTCCCGGAAATTGTAGCGGTTTGTGTTGGATTTCTTTTAGCCAACAACACGAAAAGTTTAAGAACTTTATTAATCAACTAGATTATAACTGAAACTCATGTTTTGCACAGCGGTGTCATATCAGTAAGGCCTGCATACGATGAAATGTTAAAGAACTTTATTAATCAACTAGTTTATAAGTGAGACTTATTATGCAGGCAATGAGTGAGTAAAGAAAGGCCCTACAAGAAATTCCAACGTTTTATGTGCAACAATCCGGCAATCAACGAAGTGGTTCTCGCACCTTTGCCTCTGTGCTCTGAAAATTTGTGACAATTTTCGGTAAGCCTTTGGACATTATAGAGATTATTTATTTTGAAGTTGTAACGATATTTTTTTTTGGAGAGGGTGGGGGGTTCAAATAACTTAATTCATTGACTTTCTAAGCCGAAAGAATCTTCGACCCGAAAGGGGCTCAACTGACCCCCAAATTTAAGAATCTCTGGAGTACCATACCAACGGATACAATTATAAGATTAACCAATTATAATGAACATACCTAACACAAACAACCCGATTAAGTAATCAATATCTGATCACGTCAGAGCATGGCCGCGATGAGTATAGAAATATTTCTTCAACAATTATTTGTATGCCAACTTCGCAGTACAGAATTGATCACCTGTCACAATGCAATAATTATGTCATCATTGAAAATCTTGGGACACAGTGGAAAGACGGCTACGAATAATTATTATTTTTAATTTGCCTGGTTCTATAATATTTATTTCGGCACGAATGTGTTTTGAAAAATATTTTGAATAACTTTATTATTTTTTTAACTTTCAGCTTGTATCGATTGATGTTCGTTTTTTAAAAAAATTAATTCCTTTGTTGGCCTTTTAAATGCTGTAGGTTCTTGGGTTCATTTCATGTCCCAACACTCTCTGATACAATGACATGGCCGGCTAACAAGGAAGCTATCGACGGGGTTTTGGGTTTAAGAAAAAGATTACTTGAAAGTTATCTTAGTGTTGAAGCGCATTATAATTTACCGCGCCAACGAGATTTTCCTAATAAATGGCTTTGACATACTTTTCTAATTTAACGAATGGCTTACACGAGAGTTGATAAGCTGAAAGTATGTGGGGTTTGTCCACGTCTCGCTTGCTTATACGAGAGTTGTAAGTTGTAAGGCTGAAGGTTTATAGGGTCAAAATAACATCGGTTCACAGAATCAAAGTCCACATACAAATCCAGGTTTAGAGATTGACAGAATTACAGCACAAATGCAAACATAATATGTTTATAGATTGACAGAATCACAACACAGATTAAAAAAAACATAGGTTTGTAGACGGTCAGAATCCTGGCATCAGAGGTGCAGTGTGTGTGGTGATTTGAACAGTCAACGAGTGTGGACTCTTCATGTCAAGGACGGGTTCGTGGATTTTGAAGGTTATAAAGGGAGAGAACGATTTTGTGTGTGTGAGAGAGAGAGAGAGAGAGAGAATAGTTTTGGGGTTATATTGTCTGTGGGTTTTTTTGTCGCATAAAAGTTTCTGCTGGATGTAATTGGGTAGCAACTTCACTGTGTACCAAGTGGATGTTTAGTACAGTGAAATAAACGCATAGTGTACAATGAACTATTCAGTGTTTGAGTTAATTGATGTACACGTACAGTATAAATTACACTATAGTCCATGTTGTGACCAAGTGAGAGACGCTATCCCAAGCAAACTGGTCTGACATAAGGTTAGATGGAATATTTGCTATTGGAATATTTGACAGAATCCCAACACAGACACAAACATGGGTTTGTAGTTTGACAGAATCACAACACAGATACAAACATGGGTATTTAGTTTGACAGAATCACAACACAGATACAAACATGGGTTTGTAGTTTGAAAGAATCACATCACAGATACAAACAGTTGTGTTTAAATAAAAATAAATTAAGTATTATCGTCGGTGAAAGCAAAGTATAAGTAGGTTTGTTCGCTCCCCCCCCTCTCTCTCTCTTTCACACACACACACTTCCCTCCCACCTCTCTCTCTCACTTCCCATCCCTCTCTTTCACTTCCCTTGATTCTCTTTCTCTAACTTTTCTCCCCTCTCTCTTTCACTTCCCTCGATTCTCTTTCTCTAACTTTTCTCCCCTCTTTCTTTCACTTCCCTCCTCTCCCTTTCAGTTCCTTCCTATCTCTCTGTTTCCTTCTCTCCCTCTCTCTCTCTCTCTCTCTCTCTCACTTCCGTCCCCTCTCTCTCACTTCCCTTCTTTCTCTCTCTCTCTTTCTCCCTCTCGCTATTTCTCTCTTTCTTTTTCTTTCTCTCTTTATCTCTTTCATATCTTTCAGAAGATAAATATGGCCGAATATTTGTACGGATTCCCCATCTAACGGTGTTTGTAATCATCATCATCAGTAGCGCTACAGCCCATGTAGAGCCCTGGCCTGCTCCACTACATCCTTCCACTCGGAACGATCCATGGCCTTCCGCATCCATGCGTTAATCCTCAACTGGTGTAAATCCTTCTCTACATCGTTGGTCCATCTCAGCCTTGGGGGACCGGAGCGTCGTCTGCCCCTAGTTTTCTGCCTGTGTATCACTTTTGCTGCTCTACATTTCGGCCTCATTTCAAAATGTCCTGTCCAGCGCATTCTGTCTTTTTTAAATTGTTGCGACTAATGGGTGGGTCTTTGTACAATTGGTACAGTTCTTGGTATGTACGGATTCTCCAGACTCTAGACATCATTTTCCATCACTGGGCCGTATATTGTTACTGAAGATTATCCTCTCCCATGCGATGTTCCCTTTAAGCTGCGCGGCCGCGCAGCTATCTCACAGACGCCACGCAGCAGTTTTTTAGGATCCGCGCAGAAAATTTCCATGTAAGTGTGTGTTTTTGTTTGTGGGCTGTAAAATTTTGCACACAAAAAAATTGATGCTGTAAAACTTTGCACACAACTGTATGATTTTACACACGAACCAAAAAAACCTTAGAGGGAACATTGCTCCCATGTATTGAGAAGGTTCTCTGCTTTTCTGGTAGCATTTTATATAACCGGACCAAACATTTTCCTTAAGATTTTCCTCTCAGATGTGTAGAGCGGCTCTCAGCTTTTCTGGTAAGAGACCAAGTCTCTCGTAAATTACAACTGGTGGTATAATAGTTGTGTCAACTGCCTTTCTGTTTTCCTTGAAAGGTGTTTGCTTGTTAATAGCCTTTGTAGGCTGAAATAAGAGCGATATCCTGATTTTATGCTGTCTTTCACCTCAGTCATTAATTCATTGTGCTCATTCATAACAGCTCCTAGATATTCGAAAGTAGCCACTCTCTCAAAGGTGTGGTTGCTTGTTTTGATGTTTCACCAGCATGCGTGTTTTGCAACATTACCTTATATTTTGTTTTCGCTCCATTTACCTCAAGTTACTCGAAAGATTTCATTATAGCATTGCTGTTTCTGCCCAGCAGCGCTGCGTGTTGGTCCGCATGTGCTAAGTACTGCACTGGTTGGCTGCATGCCGGTCCTGATTGGTGTGGCCTGCTTCTCTGGAAGTAGTCCCGCTTCAGCACTGTGTCAACTGCCACAGCTAAAATGTGTTTTATCTTTGATCGACTATTTTTTATATCGACTATCTTTGATCGCTTATCTTTGATATCGACTAAATTTAATATCGACTGTCTTTGATATCGACCATCTTTAATATCGACTGTCTTTTACCGACTGTCCGTGAAGAATACAGTTGTGTGTTCCCACGTTTCGTGACCAAAACATTGACTACGCTATCTGTAATTCACAATCGTCATTCATCAAAGTTGACCATGTTAGGAATGGTTGTCAGAAAGTACAACTCCGTTGAAGACGCCAGGCACGATAATAAACAAACATAGGCCTCGAGGGACAAGGTTTTTTTTTTCTTCTTCGTTTTTTATGGGTGACAAAGGCGAGGAAACATTTCCTAACACAATTAAATTTGTGTGGAAAGAATTGACTTCAAACATTGAGTGTACGAATTTACTTAAAACACTGAGTGTACGCAGAAAGAATTGACTTAAGACACTGAGTGTACGCAGAAAGAATTCACTTAAAACACTGAGTGTACGCATAAAGAATTCACCTAAAACATTGAGTGTATGCGGAATTTACTTAAAACATTGAGTTTACGCAGAAAGAAATGGAGATAACATATAAATATACTAACATGCCAATTTAACATAAAAATAACATACATACATGCCAATTTAACATAGAAATAACATAAAAACATGCCAATTTAACATAAAAATAATATACTAACATGCCAATTTAACATAAAAATAACATACAAACATGCCAATTTAACATAGAAATAACATACATACATGCCAAATTAACATACAAATAACCCCTCCTAGTGCCATAATCCGCACATCCAACGCCATTGTCGACTTCAAGTTCCGTTGTCTGGTCACAGTGCCATCATCTACACCGTGATGTCTGGTGCCGCACCTCCTTCCTGGTATGGCTCCTATTAGCATGAAAATAACACATTTTAGTTGGCATGTGAATACCACAGATACATATGTCATATAGCAATAAAATAATACACATACATGCACATATAAGCTTTGGAAAAACCCACAAACATACCAATTAGCACGACATATACATAAACCATTTAGCATGTATAAAATAAACATATTTACATGTACGTCGTCGTCGTCTGACAGTGCCATCATCTACACCGTGATGTCTGGTGCCGCTCCTTCTTCCTGGTACGGCTCCTATTAGCATGAAAATAACACATTTTAGTTGGCATGTGAATACCACAGATACATATGTCATATAACAATAAAATATACACATACATACAAGCTTTGGAAAAACCCACAAACACACCAATTAGCACGACATATACATAAACCATTTAGCATGTATA